TTTAAATAGTAAATACATTCTTTATTTTTTTTACATATCCATTGTCACAATTATTACACTCTATTTTAATACAAAAGAGTCATGTCTGTTGCTATCATAGGACTATAGTTGAAATGAAGTGTTTGCGAATTAAAACTATAACAAAAAACAAAATAACAGTAAGTTAGAATAAAAAGAATGGTTATAACAATTTGTCAATAAGAATAGTTATAAAAAAAATTTATTGGGTATAATAAAAACTATTTGAGAAAGAGACAATGCAGACAACCGGAGCTGAGGGAGGGTGTTTCAACACAAATATTTACAAAAGCCTGTTTGTCTTGTTTTTATAAAAACAAACATATTGCACTTAGATTAGAATTTCTTAAATTGTCTGTGCTAGAGGTTTTCAACTTGATTGGTTGCATTTCAAAAACATGAACAATGTAGCAAAAGTATAGTGTTGAGGATTGGTGTTTGAGTTTATGTTGATTATTGAAACAAAACAATCAAAAACAATCAAAAGTTTTTGTTATAACCTTTTGGTTATCATTAAGAAATTAAAGACTTTAATTGGATTAACGATACTTAAGTGTTAAAAAAATAATTGGTTTTTGGAATTAGTACTGAATTAATTGAAGTCGAAATTATAATATCAATAACATATTTCACAATTATTTAACCTTTTGGATAATCTAACTTTTAATGACATAGTTTCAATAAGGATGAAACTTAAAGTTAGAGGTTGTTGAAAGTGTGTGCATTAATTTTTTTTCATCCTCCTTTGATTGGATCAATTGACATTTATTGATTAGATAACTTTTTGGTCAACAAACCTAGATTGTTTACTTGAAGATGAATGATGTTTGTTATTCAAAGGTATGAAAGTATCAAAATTCTGTAAACAAAATAACAAAGTATCTTTTCGTCAAAAACAATAAAAAAATTATAATGATTGAAAAGCCTAAAAAAAAGAAAGTCAATCTCAGTGCGAAACGTTTTTTTATGTAAAAAGAGAACTAAAAAACAATTAGTTTATTCATACTAATGGTTTGAATATGTTTAATTAAAAATAAATAAAATATTAACTCATAGCCATTAGAAGTTGTTTATTTAATGAATGTAGTGAAATATTTAGACAGTACAGAAACTCTTAAAGTTTTTGTTCAAGTAAATCACCATTGTCTTGAAGCTATTTCAAGAACAAAAATTAACCCATGTTATGGAATTAATTCATTAGCTGTTGCTATCTCCAATTCAAGATATAAAAACGCATTATTTGAACTAAAAGTATTTGATGGCCTTGAAACATTTTATGTAGATTATAATTCATTAGAAAAGATGAGTGTTAAATCACTTGAAAATATTCCATTGATTAATGTTCATAAATTTGTTATGCAAAATGGGTCAGCAGACTATGCTATATTTCGTAAATTATCAGATAAAATATGCTCTATTGGAATTGACACAGCATATACATTTAATCCTAATTTCTCTAATTTAATTAATTTAAGAGAAATAGTAATTAGAGTTGGACAAAATTATAACAATAATATTATTGAACAATTATTTGAACAATTACCTAAATTCAATTATCTTCATAAGGTTGTTATCAGATGTGATTCCAACAGATTACATTATTTAAGAGAATTAAGTAAAAAATTACAAATAAAAACAAAAGTTATATTTATTATTGATTGGTTACATAAAGAAGATATTGAAGAAGTTAATGACTTAGTTAATAGTACAGCACAAAAAGTAGGAATTGTGATGATTAACTTTGACGACTTTGAAGCATTATTTATGAAATCAAATGTTGTGTTGTTACCATTTTGTCCATATAATTTCCAAGTGTCTTCAAAGATGACAGCTGACCCTAGATTTTACGAATTATTGAAAATGTATTTACCAACTCGGTTAGAAATTCAAGGTGGAATTCGTCCTGATGTTGAAGCACCAAAAAATAAGACTATTGATCTCTCTAAATGTATTTGTCTAAATGAATTATTTATGAATGAAGCCAGATACACGTCAAGAATTATAGTTAAGTTACCAACTTCACTAAATAGAATGTTTATTAATAACTTAGGAAGTATTGATTCATTAGAAGGTATTGCTGAAACTCATTTGCCAGATTCTTTAAAAGAACAATTTTCTCAAGGAAATCTCTTTATTAGCAACTAAGCATACTTTTTTTTTATTTCAATTTTTTATTACACATTAAACTTGTAAATAAATTAAATGAACTTGAAACAGGAATTTCCTGTCATTACATCTCATAGAATCCAAAACGTTTGTTTGGAGTTCCATTTGGATTTATACAAAATTAACATAGAACATTAGAATATCACAGAGTATTTGGTCCAATGGGATTGTCATGAATCAACATGGGAAATGAAACAAGACTTAGAAAATTCAGAATATAAAGACTTACTCAATAAATATAATGCCATATTTTCAGCCTCAGACATTCCTATGAAAATTATTGGAAAGTCATTACTCAATAATACTATCTATGTCAGATGGAAAGATGGGTCTTATGAATTTACGTCTCACACTGATTTATTAAATAAGTATCCAGAGTTATTTATTTAAAGTTACTTGTTTGAATTAATTCTTTCTTATTTCTTAGACATTTTTGTTATATTAATATATTTAAGTCAGTGACAAGATTGAATCTCCAGATTAAATTACTTTTTCTTCTTTCAACGAGGATTGATATAAAAGGTGTAGTTCACTTTATTATATTCATTATGGAAACTGATCAATTGGATCAACCAACTTACCCATTAGACTCATCTATAAGTAAATTATTACAATATTTACTTTCTCAATACTCTGAACGTCCATTTGGTTCAGTAAATGAAAGTCTCACAATGGGACAATTTAGAGGGGAATTACAAAAAGTTTGTGATATTGTTGAAGAAGAACCTTTTAAAATTTGTCCCTACATCACAAGACATAAATGGTTATTCATTTCATTGTATTTTGTTGGAATAATGGTCTGTGGCATTTTAAGTCCATTAGCAACAATTATTGTTTCCTTAATAGGAACAATACTTTATTGGTTAATATATGATATTCAATTTTCTTTTTTAGATTTTGTTCTACCTGGTAAGCAATCTTTAAACCTTTTTGGAGTAATAAATGGGTCTTTACATGAAGAAGATATACCTAAAAGAACATTGTTATTTGTTTCTCATATTTCTGATATAAAAAAAGACTCTGGAATTATCTATCATCTTACAGGAATTTTAGTTCATTTTAGTTTGTACATCTTAACATTATTTATCTTAATTGGTTTTATCATTGGTGAAGTATATAACAATTTTGTTTTGATACCAATTGCTTCTATTGTTTCTACGATTATTCTATTTTTCTCTATGTCTATGTATATTGAAGGAAAAAAAAATAAAGTGTCTGGACTTGCAACATCTTTATGTTTAATGAATTTATCACAAAAATTAAAAGAAGATAATTCACCAGTATTAGAGAATTATTCTGTTATCTTTCTTATAACAACTTCTATTGGAGAACGTCATGAAGGAATTAGAGCATTTTTAAAGAGGCATAAAAAAGATGAACGATTTAATCCAAAAAATACGACTATTATTTGTTTAGATGAACTTGATGACTCTGAAACAATTTCCTGTTATTCAAAAGAAGGGTTTCTCTTTAAAAAATATGATCAATCACTAATTGATCTAATAAAAGATGCTAGTGAAAGTGAAGGGATTGCTGTTCAATGTGTCACAAACAGAATTCATCAACCATTTACTTTTGCCAGTGAATTTAGTGGAAAATATTCTAGGGTTGTTCCTTTGACTGCTAAATGTAGAAGTGTCAAAAGGAAATTTAGAGAAGAAAAAGAAAAAAATACTAAACAAGATGGTTCTGTTATTTGTGTTCATGATGATCAAATGAAATGTGTTAATAATTGTTCTATACTCCTTTTGAAGGTATGTAAATTATTAGATTCTTCCATTAACCCTACTATTCTTAATAAGCATGACTCTTTGAATACGTTTTCAATGCATCAAGGCACAATGAATCAATTGGATGATGTTCCTATAGAATTATAGTATTTATTATAATATAATTTATTATAAATTAAGTTTCTTTTAAAAATGAAAAAAATAAAAATAGCAAAAAAATGACATTAGAGACTATTTTATAGGAAATGCAACAAGTTTATGACTTTCCTATTTTATTAGGACTCTTAAATGTTTACTGTACAATACCTAGTTCTCTTCAAGAACTTATTGAAGAGGCTCAATATATATTACCTAAAATTATAAATTCTATCCATGATACTCCTATCTTAAAAACAATGAATGAGGGAAATTTGTTTCAAAGGATTGAATATAATAAAATAGTTTTACAACAATGTCAATTACTTGGAGCAAAAATTACATTAACTTCAGATGATTTAACACAACCAAAAAAAGATGTTTATTCACAAATTCTTAGTACATTATGGCAAATGTCATTAATTGATATGAAATATTCTATGAGACGTATTGAAAAGGAAGAGGATATAACAAATACAGTTCGTCAATGGATGAGGTTGTTCTTACCTAATCAAGAAGTTAATGTAGAGAATACTCAAAAACTACTTCATATCATTGAAGAAGATGAAGTAGAATCAAACGATAACTCAAGTCAAAGTCCAGGATTTGATGATTTTGAGGAAGGAGATAAAGAAATAGAAGATGATTTTTCGTTAAATGAAGATAGAATGAAAGCGGAAGAAGAGGTGCTTAGTGGTCGTATTCTTCTATTAGAAAAAGAACTCGGAGAAGTGGATATGACTGAAGATGAAATGAAAGTAGCTCTTCAAAAATATAATCAAGAGAATGAAATGATACGATCTGATATACTTCAAAAGTATCAAGACTTAACCTCATTAAGACTTCTTCTTCAAAAAGCAATAACTCAAACTCACCTTCAACAAAAAGAACTTCAACGATTAGTAAATCAAAAAGATACAGAGGCTAGTGATATGATGAGAAATGAACAACGAAAAAAAGAACAGTTAGAAAGAAAAAAAGCAGAGTTTGAAGAAATGAATAAACAAGTTCAAGAGGTTTCATGTTCAGTGATTGAACTTGAATTTCAAATAGGAAAAATGAAAATGATAAAGAAAGAGGTTGAAGAAAGTTATCTTAAAGTAAAAAAACAAAATAAACAAACTGAAATGGAAGTTGCTGAAAAAGAAGAAGAAATTGAAAAGTTAATGAAAAAAATACAAATGGAAAAGAAAAAAATGAAGGAATTTCTTAAAGAAAAGAATCGAATAAGGAAGAAACGAATAGATATAGAGAATCAAAAGAAGTTAATTGAAATGGAAAAGAAAGATATTATTATGCAACGAGAATATAAAGAAAATTATGCAGAACTTAGGATAGAAAGAATTGAAAAAGAAAGTGAAAAAGAAATTAGTTTATTACATGAAAATAGTCAAGCAGAAGAAGAATATCAAGAAGCTGAAACGAGACTAAAAGAAGTTAAAGAAAAAGAAAAAGATCTCAAAGAAAATGATGAGTTTTTAATTCAAAGGATAAAACGAGATAAAATAAGAAAAGAAAGGAAAGTCCAACATTTAGAGAAAAAAAAACAATTAGCAAATAATCAAAAAAAAGAAAAAGTAATAGAATTAATTAAAGTCAATGGTGAACTTGATATGAAGAAAGATGAAATAAATATAAGTCAATTAGAAAAACAAAGAAGAATTGAATCAACACGTGACTCTAATAGGTTTAAAGCATTAGAAAAAAAGAAGCTTGAAATACAAATTAAAAGTTATAAAAAAACATATAGACAAAAACAAGAGAAAAGAATTGGATTGTTAAAAGGGAAAATGAAGAATTTAACTGAAGAATTAGATGGATTTATTGAAGAAGAAAAATGTAATCAAGATTAATTATTTGTCTTCATCAATTATTAATGATAATTGTTTTGTTACTCCATTAGGATTTAATGCTAATGTAAGTTGATAAGCATCACTTCCATTCATATAATATTTATTTAGAAATTGTTCTTTAACAAATCCTAATTTAGTGTACAGTGCTAAAGAACTAACGTTGTCAGCTTCAGTTTCAAGAACAATTCTGTCACATTTATTTTCTATCATTGTATTAAACAATTTCATTGAAAGTAATGTAGCAATTCCTTTTCTTCTATAATTATCTTCAACGCTTAACATAGCAAGGTATCCTTGTTGAAGATTGTTTTGAATACTTTGTTTACCAATACAACATCCAACATATTTATTTGTTGTTTTATCTTTTGCCTAAAATATTATTATTGGAACCTTCTTTAGAAAAAATTAAGTGAATTTAATAACAAACAAAGAAACATAAATGTGGCCAACTTTTTAAGAAATATCGATATGTATAAATAGAATATGGTTCAGACAATGTTCTTTTCATTAAGTCCATTATATAACCCATTTGTTCTTCTCCAGTATATGGTACAATTTCTATTGACTCACTCATATTTATTTAATTTCAGTTTTTTTCTTTTTTTTAAGTTTTTGTTTTTATTATAAAATACTATAATTATAGTTAAATTTTATTAATATGTTTATTCTTTTTTTAAATTTCAGTCATTTTAAAAATGTTAATTTTACTTTTATTATTTGTAATTTTTTTATAATCAACAGAGTTAGTTGTATAATTTATCTAACATAAAAAGAAAATCATATAACAACATTAAAAGATAAATTATATTTTAGGTTATGGCGTTTTGAATATTCAAATAAACAATTTAATTTTTATAACGTATTAGACATATCTTTGTTTCAAACGAAATTGAGTCTTGACTAAAGCGGTAACAATATTCTTCTTATTATTGTACTAATAAATTTATTATTCAACTCTTCTTTAAGAATGTAAAAAATCAGTGTTCTTTGAAAACAGTATGAGAACTTATTGTGGTGGAGAGGCAAATGTATTAATATATGATATTAACACAAAATAACTAAATTTCAAAAGAACAATTTACAGAAACAAAAAAACATTTTAATAAAGTTATAAAAAGTTTTGAGATTAGCAATGGTTTTATAGTATTTATTCAATCAATATTCATTTAATTCTTTCGTTTTTTTGAAGTTACAAAGAACTATTAAGAAGTTGTTATGTTTTCATTTTCATATTTTGTGTTTGGTTATTTGGAATTTACTGTTTTAGATAAATGTTTCATGGATATAAAATTATTAACATAAATACTTCATAAAACATATCATTGTTGTCATAATAATTTAAAGAAATATCAAAAAAGAATTAATTGATTAAGTATAAATGAAAATAAAACTTCACAACATCATAAGAAGAGAAAAAAAGATATTTAGT